GTGTATAATTTAACAGAGACTTAGACCTACATTGAAGGAATTTTTAGTTTTAGGTCTAGGTAATGTGGAGAATTCTTTCCGTAGATGTTGTGATTGAGATGTCTCATCCTTAGTAATGCCTTCAGTTTGTTCCCAAGACACTTTACGCATAGATTTGAGTTGATCGGTTTTGCACTCCAATAATTTGTTTGAATTAGAGACTTGTATGGAATTGTTTATATGGTCATTTGAATGTGTAATGTGTTTCGTCATCAGTGTAGGTAATAGATCTGCTTCGAAACTAGAATTAACTGTTGCACCTTTACATGAGACATTAGACCCATGACGACTATGATTTTGATAATGATGAGAATTTTTTGTATTATGAACGAAACTTGACAGCTTTGACGGTGATCGGAATCCAAATCCACTATTCCGACCGTCAAATGTTAATCCAGTATTGTTTGAATGACATGCGTTTGTTGATGAACTATTTTGGTTCTTTAAAATATTACTACTGTCTAGATTGCTATTATTGGAGCTAGAGATGGTTGAGGAAGTTGTTCCGTATATTTTCTGAGGTAAATATGACAAGGATGGTGTGGGTAACGTAGGAGGAGGTTCTAAAATAAGTGAAGTTTTATAATTATCTTCTTCTAGAAACTTCTGTAACTCTTCTATGTAGCGTTGAGCACATAGATATGCATTGAGAGTTTCATCCACAGCAAAGGCTTAGTAATTTGAATAAGAAAGAATGTATTAAATCTCTGAAAAATTCCAAATCAAAATTTTTAAATGCAAATAGAATGGTAACAAATCAAGTCTCCTGTGTGGTAACCTGCCCCAAATGTCCTAGTACGGCCCAGAGTGGAGAGAGTCCGCTCTCCCTCTCGAAATTCTCTCACATGGCCACGCATAAATAGCCTCTGACAGGGAAGTCCTACTCACTGCCTTCTCGCGCCATTACTGTTGTTTATGAAAGTAAGAGAACGAAAAGCAAATGTCCGGCGATTTAAACGGGTTTGTGGATATGGTGAGTCCACCTAAGGGAGTTGGAAAACCCTGATTCCAGACCAATGGTGAACATTGGCTCCAGTATCCTGGGTGAACAAATGGGGTATGGACCAATTATTGGTCACCGGCTATCATGAGACTGCATCTCCTTACGATGCTCCACTGCCTTGTGGATCAGACCTTCAGGTTGAGGGCTCCGGGTGTGGTCCACTTAGAAAACCACCTGGTTCGGTCTGGACACCCGGGCTGTATCACAGCAATCACACAAATCTAATGAGATGACAATTATTTCACGAAATACAACGCTTCTTGATAAATGACGATTAGACTAATTGGAAGGCATTGGAGTCAACGTAAACGAGAGGATTTTTTTCAAATAGCTGTGAAAATGTAATATATTAAACATAGTTGACATGTGCGGTTTATTGGACAGTACTTTAAGATAACTCGACAAGTAAAGTATGATACGGAAAATAACAATTAACTATTTGATTACTGAGTGTCTAAATAGTAAAATGCAAAAATAAAACGTCAGTTAATGATGATTTGTTGTACAATTTTTAGTCTTAGCATATAAACTGAGGAATCCCAACCAATAAGTATATTACAAAATCAACTCACAGTATTCAGATTGTTGAAAATATGCTATTTTATCAATAATCGAGTTGATTTTTGTGAACCATACGGCAGTTGGTTTTCCATTTATACGCGGTTGAGCCACATTTGTATACGTTAAATCAGACAAATATAAACCTAAAAATGATGATTAAAAAAGACACTCTAATAAGTGGTAGCTAGCAAAGCATGTAGGATCTAATTCTTACAAAATTCAGTCATGATGGCAAAAGATAAAAAACGAGCGGAAACCAGTAATAAAAATGTTAAAACAAGCAAATTAATTTCCAAAAGTCTAATTAATAATGCAGCACACTTAGTAAATTACATCACTTGGTACTTAACCTTAAAGTACACTGTGGAGCCCCCAAATGCCCTGGTATGGCTGAGAGTGGGGTGGGCCCGCCCTCCCTCTCGAAATGCTCTCACACGGTCACGCATATACAGCCTGTCAGGGAAGTCCTACTCACTACCTTCTCGAGACGGGGGTGTTGTTTACGAAAATGAGAGGACGAAAAGCGAATGTCCGTCGCTTTAACCGGATTCCAAACCAAATCAATGTTGCACATGGGCTCCAGTATCCTGAGGGAACAAATGGCGTATGAACCAATAGTTGGTCACTGGCTACCATGGGATTGCATCTCCTCACGATGCCCCACCGCCTTGTGGATTAGACCTTTAGGTCAAAGGCTCGGGGTGTGGCCCCCTGAGAAAACCACCTACTTCTGTTTGGGCACCCGGGCAGAATCACGGCCCACACACAAATATGGTGTGGCGCATATATATTTGGTGCCCTGTTGTACCAATATTTGTGTTCAAATAAAATAAACACTGTAGTGCTATTACTTGGTTCCCGGAACCGAAGATGGATTCGGTAGATTAAGAATTAGGAGAAAGTAAACCGAACCGCATTTTCCTGACGACAGGTTAATTGCAAGTATTAATTTTATGATAAAAATGGTACCTATCGAAAAATACATGAATCCTGGTATTTAAGTTATTTGAAAGCATTTATATTGTGACGGTATAAATGATGTCTCGCAAAGACAAGAAACAAATGACACGAAGCATATGAGAAAAAAGCTATGAAAGCCAAGTTGCTAAACTATAAATAGTAACTCGCGCAGGAAATGTCCATTTAAAGTCCAAGGACACCATTGGACTTAACATGATAATTATTGGTCTATTCCTCCGCGGTCAAGCTCCCAGGTCGTCAAGACCAACACTAATCCAATTTCCTTTTCAGGTTCCTCAAGAAATACCCTTCCACGGTGTGGGCAGCCGGGAAGTGACATCAGCCCTCATACCCGTAACAGCACGAGAGACCAAGGTGGTCACATTCAAATCCTTCCTACACCTCCTAATACCTCTCTTATCCTCCAGACTAACCCTCCTCACGTCTCTTTATCACCTCGCACCGCTAGGGCAAACGATTCGAGTACGTGGAACGCCATTCCTGGTCTTCGAAACATTGCTCGTATATCATGGGACCATCGAGTAAGTAACACAGTTGTTAGGAAACGGGTACTAGGTAAGGATGGCAAATCAATTGATGACGTAGTGAAACTTCATCAGTTGAGATGGCTGGGACACGTGTTACATATGCCCAACGACCGACTGCCTCGACGTGCGATGTTCAGTGGTATAGGAGTAGGTTGGAAGAAAGCTAGGGGCGGCCAGACAAAACCATGGCACAAGTCCATGAAGTCACTGACAAGTGGTCTGAGTCATGTCGGTAGGTGTAGACTACCTGGTTTGGGACCGCGAGATGATAGCAACCGATGGTTAGAGACCCTGAATGACATGGCTCAAAATCGTTTGCAATGGCGCAGGTGCATACACTCTTTGTGTTCTCCCAAATTTTGATCTCCTTATTCCTCCTTGTCTCTCTTTTTCTCTTTCCAAATCTCTTTCACTGGATTATACTCTTTAAATAACATCTCCAAACCCTAATCTTCCCGATTACTGCTTATACTCTTATTACCTCTACCACTACGGGATTTGAATCGACAAGTGCATCTCTGTGCTAATGTGGTGTGGCAACTCGAACTGATGTACGTACGTACGAAGTTCTACGTTGTTACTGACTGACTGACGATGAAACTCACTACTGTGAGAAGGCTCAAAAGAGCACCTGGCAGTTTAGGGTTTAGTAAAATACAATATTTCATAACCTGGAAAAAGGGATGTGTAAAATGATGAGATAAAGCTTCCGATTGTGCAATCAAGATCATCAGACAAGCATTACCTAGGTAAGGGATACCAGGAAGACTGATAGAATGCATATGTTCGCGCTGTCTGCGACAATTATCATTCTGACTGAAAAGCTCCTCCAGACGCCTGTACGCTGCCCGATCTTTGTTTCCGAGACCAGCCCATGTGTGCCTCAAACGATAAATGCATTCCACTTGTAGAGCAGATATTATTGACATGGCAGAATACAGATTATTAAATTCCACAAGTTTCTGGAGTAAACAAAAACAGAAATTCATAGGCTGTTTGAAAACATACTGTGTTCAGTTAAATAGAAATAATATATCTAAAACAATGTCTCGTTGGTAACTTTAAGTAACATGAAGAGACGAAGTTTGACGGCTATGCGATATAATAGTGCAATACATTTCAAAAAAAACACAAACCTACTTTGGAAATTTTGATAAAAAATGACAACATCTCAGTTCTCTTTGAAACGCATGAGTATTTTAAGATTTCTTTTTGAACCCAGAAATTAATCTGAAAACGTTTAGGCACAAACATAAATTACTTGATTAAACCATCTGGTTGAGGCAACGATATTCGGAGCGCACAAATGTTTTTCCCTGCCATTCCATTTTAAACTTGCAAACTCCTATAGAACACCTTAAAAAGTTCTCTCTACGGGCTTACCTCTCTATGTATGGCTTTAAAGTACGAAAGTTCTATTAAAGTGATTTGTTTCTGTGGGGTTATTTATATGCCACACTTACTGCAAATTCTTCGGAGCTGACTTTCGTAATATCAGCAAAAGCTACATCTTCAGCTAGAGAAGAGACTGGTGTCTGGTCCGATGTCAGAGGCTGGTAGCATCCTGTTGACTTAACATACTCCATCAAAATCAATAACTAGCTCTGTATAAATCCTCAGACAAATCAAAGTTTCCGATTTGTGATTTTTCCCCTTATTATAAACCCAGTTGGTCTTAGCCTGACATTCCAAACTCAGAAAATCGCGCCGAAGAAAAAAGACGAAAATAGCGCTTCTGTTGTAATTTTAAACAACTAAAACCCTAAACATCAAATGAAAACATAAGAATCACACTTAAGTTTCGCTAGCAGTTACCTTATTAAAATAACGTTACGTGTGACTTGAGTTTTGAGCGGCAATTTAAGTCAAATAGCAATGCCTGACTTAAAATGTCCATTCCTGTGAATCATTTAGGAGCGACTAATATTGTGTTGGTAAGTAGTAATTATTTCCTCATCAATACCACGGATTGTAATTTGCACACCATGCCCAGTATATGCTGCTTATCACTAGGGACGTGTTGGTCATAAATTGGTGATTATCTAGTATTTATAGCAGTTATCAGGAATTTTGCACTTTCACGAAATTACCTGGTTCTTCGAGCTGTCTTCGCACTCTTCACTTGTGCTAGTCTTTCATATTTTGTAGTCTTTTTAGAGCAAAATCTTAAATGTTAGACGTATTTTGGGTGATAACAAGTAAAGTTTGAGTTGAAGTTTAAACATAGGCGGAAACCGCAAACTCAGTTGTTTTTACCGTACTCAGTCCACTGGCGTTCAAGCAACGCTCTCACAAGCTATGGTAATTGAAGTTTGCCCCCTAGTTTAGCACTGATTGTTCGTACGAAAATGTTGTTAAGCGAGTGTAGTTGCAGATATGGGAGATTTGACCAAGTATAATGTCGATTTCGAGTTAAGTAAACTCAGATGTTGTCTAAAATCTCCGTCAACCGGCAATTCACATCTGATGGAACTGAAATTACTCTAATAAAACCAGCTTAATGCTGTATAACTGTTTGATTTGGTTGCTTGACTCCATGTTCCAAAGGAAAACCTATTATAATACTTGAAACGTTTTGTTGTACTTATTGTGGTTGTTTTACGCATTCTATAGTTTCAAGCCTGGCATCTAGGATCCCTAAAATAATGGAGTGCTTTTTTGAGGTCGAAATTTTAAAATCATGTTTCGTCAGAAGTCATCGTAATTATAGTTGTTGACTATTATTGAAAGAAAACTCCCCTGATACCAGTTTTCAATTCTAACTTTCTTGCTTTGCTTCTCCAAATATCTCATCTATCTTTCAAGAGCCCCAACAAGTGCATTCAAAGTCATTCATAACGCAGGACAATGCAGATGTCGATTGGCACAGGTAGTAATACTTCAGCAACAAAATGATAAATATTAACAAACTCAAAGTCTAATTATCTACAACATACTAGTGATATCCGCTTTATCTTCACTGGATCGTCACGACAAACTGATGAAACCGTCCAACCAAGACAACATTTGTGGTCGTAATTGTTTCCATAGCACCTAACTTTCTTCCAACCATCTCCAATACCGGATAGCATTGCACGTCGTGGTAATCGGTATTCAGGCATACGTAACACGTGGCCCAACCATCTCAGTCGATGAAGATTCACAACCTCATCAACTGATTTACCATCATTTCTTAATACCCTGCGTCTAACCTCACTATTACTTACCCGGTGATCCCAGCAGACGCCAGCAATATTTCTAAGGCATCTGTGGTCAAATACTAGTAGCTTACGAGTGTCTTCTACTCTTAAAGGCCATGTTTCACTGCCGTAAAGTAAAACAGAACGGACTGCCGCGCAGTATACTCGTCCTTTAATTGATAGACGGATATCTCGCCTTCGCCAAAGGTGACGTAAGTTGGCAAAAGCCAAACGAGCTTTTCGAATCCGTGCTGAGATTTCGTCAGACACCAACCCATTAGGGCTGATCAGACTTCCAAGATAAGTGAAGTTGTCAACGCGTTCGACTACTTCACTCCCTATCCTTAGTTCAGGTGTTGACGCAGACCAGTCCTGAAGCAACAACTTGCATTTATAGGGAGAGAAGCGCATTCCAAACATTCTGGCATTGTGCTCAGTGCTACCAAAAGACTCTGCATTTTGTCAGCGTCTTCACCAAACAGGACTATGTCGTCTGCGTATTCTAAGTCGATAAGTGGACCTCCTGGTAGGGGATCAATACCCGAGAACTCAGTTGACGAGAAAGTTATTTCCATCAGTAGATCTATGATGAAGTTAAACAAAAATGGGGAAAGTGGACAGCCTTGACGGACACCACTTGAGGTTGCAAAAGTAGATGACAGTTCGCCATAAGCTCTGACTCGACTAGTAGTGTTCGAGTAAAGAGCCTTTATAAGGTTTATGTACTTCTGGGGTACGCCTTTCAATGACAGACACTGCCACAGAATCTCGCGATCTACAGAGTCAAATGCTGCTTTTAAGTCAAGAAAGACCACCATTGTCGGACGCCGATAAGTATGCCTGTGTTCTAGAATCTGACGAGTGGTGAATATGTGGTCGATGCAGCCACGACCAGGTCTGAAGCCAGCTTGGTTCTCTCGTGTTTGCAGTTCACGAGTCTTAGTTAGGCGTCTGATAATTATCGAGGCTAGTATTTTAGATATTATATCAGTTAAACTAATCCCTCTGTGGTTGTCACAGGATGATTTTGACCCTTTCTTATATATTGGGACGATAAGTGATTGCGACCAGTCAGATGGGATAAAGTCTAATTCCCAGATCTTAGCTAAAATATTAGTCAACCTAATCGCTAAAATTGGACCACCATCCTTAAAGACCTCTGGAGCCAATCCATCTGGACCAGCTGCCCTTCCTCGTTTCAGATTAACTATAGCCTTTTGAACTTCTGCTAGAGTTGTGGGACCTACTTCAATGTTCCATTCACACTGTCTGGGAATGGAGTGTAGTTGTAGAGTCGCTGAAGGCCAGCTAAACTGTTCCCCAAAGTGCTCCGCCCATCGTTCTAAACGTCTGGACTGGGAGTAGATGAGAGTATCGTCTTTTTCCGAAATAATCTCACTTACACTTGACTTATTAATTCCAGTTTCTTTTATTAGTCTGTAAAGCTGTCTTGTGTTCCCTATAGTCGCCGCCTTTTCCATCTCTTTTGCTTTCATTGCCCACCACTGCTCACGGTCGTTTCTTAGACTTTTTCTTAACCTAGATCTGATTTGTTGTCGCTCTTCATCATGTTCGGAACCTGATGGGACGAGTTTGCGAGAATCCATCAGTGTGATAGACTTTGAAGAAATCCACTGGTTCTTTGTAACTCTGTGGTTTAAGTCGCTAATAGATTTCATTGCTGTTTCCACAGCTGCTTGTATGTCTTTCCCAGCAACATCTGGGTCAGCCTCGCCTTCAGAACTACCTAATTGTGAACTCAGTTGTTCTTGGAACCTACTTTTGGTTTTCTCGTTACTCAACTCAGTTCTAACGGGTCTTTTTAATGTGGCTTTTTTGCGTCCAGTGAGGCGCAAGCAGATGCGTGCCCGTATTAGGGCGTAGTCGGAGTCCAAGCAGGTACTCCAGAATGAGCGACAATCTTCTACCGACCCTCTCCAACGATGACTGATGGCAATATAGTCTATTTGAGTCCATCGTTGGTTTGGTGTAGGGGGTCGCCATGTTAGACGATGTCTCTCCTTATGCTTAAAATTTGTGTTTGCTAAAAATAAACGATTGTCTGAGCATAGTTGCAGCAGACGATCACCATTATCTGTTCGCTGTGCCGGAATGCTAAAATATCCACCTAAATGCCTTTCTGTTTGGTTTAAGCTACCTATCTGAGCATTAAAGTCACCCCCTATGAGTACTATGTCTGAGCGTTTAGCTTTCTGAAGAAATTCAGAAAGTTTTCTGTAAAATTCATCTTTCACATCATCTGAGCTGCAGTCGGTGGGAGCGTAGGCAGAAACGACGAAAAGGCAACGACGCGTGTCCCTATCCTTCCGAGTTCTTACGGATCCGTTTAGCCGAACAGCACATAGACGACTGTTGACGGGGATCCACTCTAGCAGTGCTTGTTCCGCCCTCATACTTAGTGCTATGCCTACACCTGACAGTCCACGAGAACTGGCCATCGGGTCACCAGATACAAGGAGGGTGTATCTCGTTGGCTCTCCGTTTTGCCGAGGTGAGGTCAAGTGAATGACCACACTGGAATCCTGTATGCGTGTTTCGGAGACACAGCATACATCAATGGAAAGAGACTCTAGGGTTTTAGCCAAGGAAGCCTGCTGACCGATTTGACATAGGGTGCGTTCGTTGAAAGCTCCAATGTGTAGTTTGGAGCGAGGTTTCAGTATACCTGGGACAATGTTTTGCGCACTAGAATCGTTGGCTATGGTGACACTTGAGGGGGAAGCCGAAAGAGGAAGTTTAGAGTTTGAAGTCGATGTAGGAGGAATAATAGGAATTGAAGAGGAAGGTTGATTATGAATACAGTGATCCTGGGTGCTGTTAGAGGTATGAGGGCGGTTATCACTTCCCGGTTGCCCACACCGAGGAGGGGTTCTTCTGGAGGTACCTGAAAAGGGAATCGGATTAAAAGTGGTCTTAGTGACCTGAGAGCGTGACCGCAGTGCCCAAGGGGCAACTGCTTGAGGCCGGTCGCGCACGGCCTTTTCGTGGGAGGTTTTTGACGTGTTAGCTCCGTTCTTCAAAAGGGCCTTATCGCCGGAGACGGAAATCCGTGGGATAAGACAAGGTGTGCATTTTTAGGGTCGACCTTTTCTAACCCCACCCCTCCTTGTGGGAAGGCAGCATCGTTGTCATGCTGGTTGTCTGAAGGAAACACCTTACTGCTGTCACACCTCTGTACAGTGAGCAGTACGACTTCGCCTTCGGACCTTGGGTTTGTTGCTTTTAGTCTTACCGCTCTTCAACCGACCTGTCTGACATGGTAGGACCTTGAGGAACTATTGTTCCAGCCAGTATAGCTCGGTTGCTTCATCACGATAGGCAAGCCCGACCACCACGTCAAGGTAGCAACAACGGTCATAACATAGCACGCTGTTAATTCTATTTCTACTACAGAGATTAGGTCACACAGCCTTCAGTCATTGCTGTACTCGCAAAACTATTCGCCCAGTAGAGTGAAGCTATGTAAATGTTGGTGAGTGTAAGGTGTAGTTTAAGTTGATTCAATTTTGTGTGCCTAATTTCTATGAATTTACTGTACGCAAAGTACATTTGTGTATGATCGTAAATGTCAAGAGGCAGGAAACAATATTTGTTAAACTAATTTCCATACAGTTATCAAAGTAGAATGTCTGATTTTTTTTCGTTATTTGTTTGAAAATTGGGTTAGTTGAACCCGAATTCCCTCAGTATCCTGTAGACCATGTGCACTATTGGTTTGGAGTCAGGGTTTTCCGATTCCCCTAGGTGGATCCTCCATATCCGCCAACCCGGTTAAAGCGCCGGACATTCGCTTTCCGTCCTCTCAATTTCGTAAACATCTGTAATGCCGCGAGAAGGCAATAAGTAGGAGTTCCCTAGGAGTGGTTGTATGCACGTGGCTATGTGAGAGCATTTGAAGGGTTTCTGAAAACAAATTCAACTCTCAAATTTCAAGTAACTGCAATCTGTTTAACCATTATGCCTAGAGACTTCTGGACCAACTACTCTCTTTTACCATCATTAGTGCTGCTACTATACGAACTCCTTTACCATTCAACTTACTAGTTTTATCTCTCTATACTGATGTTGTGTGACAAATTAAACGAATTCATATTTATCCCAGATTCTACGTTTATTTTAATTGGTTGACTACTCCGTTTTCCACTTCATGTTAGTTATAGTCCTCACAGTCTTGCTGAGTGTTTAAGGCCTGATATCAGTCTGTAGAATGGTAGTGATATATCGTCGATATTAGTAGTGTTTTTCCTGCAATCAATAAGGTAATTTTTAAGGTTAGTATCTTTTTCTACTGTCTATATATTTTTTCTATTGTAACTACAACAGTTGTTTTTTCCATAAATTCATAATCCAGAGCTACATTTCCAACTCACAGAAATACTCGATGACCACCACGTATAACGAAATATTTGTATGAAAAAAGTCATTTTATCATAGAAAAATTTTTCATTTGACTAGTTAATTTGTGTTTGTACTTTTTTTAGTCATTTAACTATAAGGTACTTCATAGCTTTTATTTTGTTTTTGAAACCCCAATTTTCTATAACCTTTTCCTTTGCTCACTTCAGGCTACTGATAATCCACGACAATCTTCCACTTGTTTGGAATCAGTTTCTGTTCATGATAAAACTGAAGTGCATGTTGGAAGTCTTGGTTTAGGAACAGCCTTAGCCGTTGCTTATGATCTATGCAGTGATAATGGGATTGTGAATCAGTTCAATACCAACGCTAATTTATGTGCCTCAAATCCTCAACTTGCAAATTTCCTTTCATTATCTGCAATCAAATCACCGAATTCACAATTTTCGACTCATTGTCGTAGTACATCTCTATCTGACCAACATACATATAATATTTATTCTAATTATTTTACAAATAATTCATTATGGACATTACAACATACTGATAGTTACCTAACTCCTATCTCATCTGCAACTACAATATTTGATGGTTCTAATTCAATAAAATCACTCGCAAATGATAATGATCATTCCAAATCTATTTCTTCCACTTGTGATTTCTCAAATAAAGGTAACTATTTTCCTCATGTCTCTCTTGATAGTAGTGTATGCCAACCAAATGATGTAGTTTGTTCAATTGGAAGCATGATTGATGGTCATTACAATAATCATCACAACAATATTGATACCAGTCCACATGTTTCTAATTTACCTACTTCATCGAGTGGGCAGAAGATTAATACAAATAATTCAGATAATGAGTGTATAGGTATTAATCAAGGAATTACATCAAATAATTACGACAATAATAATATTGTTTTGAAGGAAACGACAGATACAAATCATGTTACTTCATCATCTACTACTTCTATTGATGACAGTTTATATCAGTTATCTGAGGAAGAAATGAAAGAAATAGATACATCAGTGAGTTGTTTTTCGTTTTATTTATATAGCGTATGAAAGCTTTTTAAAAAAATTTCTGTTTTACGTCTGTACTCGATATGCTTTTTTCTAAAAAGAAACGCGTAATTATACCCTTTCAGTTTTTGATGTTGAAGCTAAAATAAACTGCGAGGAAGTAAAGTAAATTCTATAATCGTGGTGAAAACTAGACTGGCTATTATACTTATTTACCAATACATTTATCTATTGGTATCATGTTAAGTTTAATTAACCTCAAAAAATCACAACCTTCACTAAAAACTCGTCTAAATACTGTACACTTAATCTGGAACAGCTGTGAATAAAGTGAAGATAGATCCTTTTTTGAGATTCGTAAATATGATTCGAATTATGCGTTTACCTCTTGGCTGATTAAAGGTATTCGAGAAAAACAAAATAATGATGCAACTCTTTTTATGAAAAAGCGTTTTCACTGTGTTTTTATGTTATGGCTTTTTATAATTTATATTAAAAACTCTCCTAAGGAACGATGTAATACGCTGATGAATTAGTAATGTCCAGTGATATAAAGTAGCCAAGTGATAGTTGCACGCAAAACGGGATGGACTCAAGCTTCCGAACAAACTGTGCCCAAAGATATGACCACTGAGCAGAAGGATAGGTTTTTCTGACAAAATAGCATGCTTATATTATAAAATGTGAAACACCAGAATAAACGTATTAAGAAGCCATTCGAGAAATAAACCATTGGAGCATATAGCAAATATACCTCAATTATTCCAATGAAATCGATAGTCGATTTTGGGCCGTAGTTCTTGCCCCATCAAAACATTTACTCGACAAAATGATGTGTGGTTTTTGTTTGGCAGCACTCATAAAAGGATGTCACTTTCGACTCGATCCATATATTAGTTACGAATACGTTTTGTCTATCAAGATAACGAATAGAATAGGGGTTAATAGGTTGTACAAAATAATACAATATGACCAACTGATGAAACCAACTTACTCATCGACATGTAGACACACTGCTCAATGGTTCCGTCTGGACTATTATATGCCTGCGAAACGTGGTCTATGAAAATACAACAGATATGCAGGCCTCACGTTTTGGAACACAGATGTCTTCATCGCACTGCATTGGATCTCAGATCAATCGCGTGACCGATACCGAGGTTAAGAATTGAGCACTGAAAGAAATCCCAAATAGGTCGGTAAGGTTATGTATCTTCATCGAGTGGTCAAGGTATATGTTACACATGACTAACCACTATCAACCTCAACAGGGTTTTATAGCTGGTGTAGGAGTAAGTTAGGGAAAGTCAATACGTCACATTAATTCATAAAATCATTGACTTTTGAACTGAACCATATCGGTAGCTGCAGGCGACCTGGTTGAGGTCAGCCTGATAACCACAATCGGTGATTGAAGACATTGGATAACATGGCTCGAAGTCGATCACAATGATCCAGTTACACGTGTTGTTTATCTTACTCTAATTCTTGAGTTCCAGCATTCCTTTTCTTTCTGCCCGTTTAAACCTTATTTTCAATGTTTAGTCTTTCTCATTGGTATTGCACTACTGTTCATCTTGTTCATTTTATCACGTTGTGCTGATGTGGTATGACAACTTAAACAGATGAATCAGAAAATTAGTTCACAATATCGTATTTAACTAATTATTATTGAATGTTATCATATAATAACATATTTTCCAGTGTAAAGATTGAAGTAAAGAACATTTGTGCTAGATTCTACATGGATCACGACTTGAATTAAAGCCTGTGCATTATACTACTGCATTTAGTATGGTCATAACACCTTGTCACACTTTAAAATAATGCAATAGTCATTGATCATCCTACATTTTATTTGCAAACTATTTCACAGAATTAATTTTAAAATACTATTCAGAATCCTTTAGATTTCTTCCGTCTAAAAAATATTTCAAACGTATTCCACTAATTAATAACGAGAGATTAGATATAGATCATGAACCGATTGATGTTAGACCATCACAATTGAAAACCTGGAAGCACTGGACGGCCGTTTCGTTCTATTGTGGGACTCCTCAGCAGTGCGCATCCACGATCCCGCTCGCGGGATTCGAACCCAGTTGGTTAAGCGTTCGCGCGCGAGACCGAAGGCCCTGGGTTCGAATCCCGCGAGCGGGATCGTGGATGCGCACTGCTGAGGAGTCCCACAATAGAACGAAACGGCCGTCCAGTGCTTCCAGGTTTTCAATTGTGATGGTCTAACATCAATCGGTTCATGATCTCAATCAAAAACTTAACAATCTCCACAACCCCTAAACTAGATTAGATATACACAGCAAGCGTGTCCCTGACATCTTATTTTAATTCGGGTACTACATTTCACCATTTATTTTTACAATTCAACTGGTAACTTAATTCATTACAGATTATAAATTATACCGAAGTCTTACCACAGACTTATTAGCATTGAAGTAAGATATCTATTTACGTTTAAACAACTCAATACTTATCATATCCAACATCGAAATTTTATTCTTTAGGCTAGCGGTTTTTCAAATCAGACAACTAAAATAAGCAGTTTATTTGTAAATTTTCAATTATTACACACATCTATCTATTCAATCATCAATCATGTTCAACCATATCCATCTGGTATATATTATTGCTAGAATCGATAAAACAAGTCATTCACATGAAGTTGATCTGTTTCACTGATACTATTTAAACCCCTCGTATATTCAGTTTACATATGTTCGATATAAATTACGTTACACCTAAACACCTTTTGACAAAATAGCAATCATTTTCTTCACTTCAAAATGTTTCAAAATTTTATAGAAACTGGATATTTTCTATTTAATCTAAATAAATGACCCTTTAGTTAATATATATATATATATATATATATATATATATATATATATATATATATATGGACAAGTTGATATTGTGAGCAACCGTGACCATCACTTCAGGTTAAAAGCTACGGTCAAGGTTTTCGTATATTTCTTTGAATGAAATCGAATTCTCTTGCTAGTATTTACGAATCATTTAAGTGACAGTATTCATTGTTAAGAAATATTAGACACGTCTCAGAATAGAAGCTAGTAGCAATTCTATTGTAGTTTTCTCCTAGATTGTTCATAATGAGATAAGCTTCCTCAACTGAAAAAATTATTTTCTGAGACTTGACTATGTTTCCTACCACATACTATTATTATTTATTTAATTATTGACTGTACTGCCTTCACCCCTTAAATTTCCTTACAATATCTCCACGTCGTCTATGCGAAGCACTTTTTATTGATCTATTACACCTGGATATATGTGCTCTAAATAAACACCGTTGAATGTATCTAAACTTTAATGCATAAATGTGCATTATTTATGTATATCTATTTACCTGTTTTACTTAAAGCAAATATCCTCATTCGACTTTAAATGACATTTTTATGGTGTTTAGTGATACAAATATCCATCTACCCAGAAAAAGTAAATTGAGTGGGATTCGGACTTGTGTCCACAAATAAGTTAACTTATTAACCTCCACTCGAAATACACATACAGCAACACGAGGACATAGAGTTTACTATGGAACAAGAAGCTGAAGACAAATTCCATTTCCTTGATGTTGGGATCCGACGAACATCTGATGGTAAATTACATAGACATATTAACCATAAAAATACCTGGAGTAGTCTATATCTCAATTACCACAGTTTCTGCCTAATGAGTTACAAAAAGGGTATTGTACGAACCCTTTTTGACCACGCTCAAAAAATCTGTTCAAAAGAATACCTTGATGATGAAATTAATCTGATTACTAATGTTCTACGTGATAATGAATACCCATTGAAATTTATCCAGAAATATGCAAAAAGCAATCCTCGTACAAAATACGATGGACTAGAAAGGAAAACCTGCTTTTTACACTTACGTTTCAAAGGTGATGAAATTGCTGGAATAATTAATCACAGAATAAACTTTGCGTTGAAAGTCACCTACCCAGCAGCAAAACTTATGACAGTATGACAAACGAACTGCTCACTTCAACAAACCAAAATTGACAAGCCCCCCCTTTCTTAGTAGCTCCAATTGCATCTACCAGTTCACATGTACGTGCCAAAGGACATACATTGAGAGAATTGAGAGAAGAGTGCATGTCCGCATTTCTGAGCATGTTCCAAAAAACTTGAGGCTGTGTGGGACTAAGGCTTTCAACAGCGCGATAGCTCGACATCTACTTGACACCGGGCACACCATCGACATTCCGCATGTTTTCAAAATTATCAATAGACAAAGAAGTACGACCACCCTCCGTTTTGCTGAAGCCATTATGATCAAAAAACTTAAACCTGACTTATGCATTCAAAAAGAGACTTTAATTAACTTATCACTACCCTGGTAACCTTTTTTTTATTTTTTTATTTATTTTAAAATATTTATACTCCTCCCCTATTACGTAATTCTTAAACCACATTATTATTCACACATTTCCACCACCTGATCCTCTTCAATTATCTTAACTTTTCAAATTCTATTTAATTATTATTACGTAACCTATCTTATAATTATTCAATTCCATTATTACACCACCCAACCTGAATTAATTCCTTTCGATCTCTAACCTGTTCTAGCTATATATATATATGCATACAACCACTCCCAGGGAACTCCCACTCACTGCCTTCTCGCTACATTACTGTTGTTTACGATGTACTTTGCGTACAGTAAATTCATAGAAATTAGGCCCACAAGTTTGAATCGACTTAAACTACACCTTACACTTACCAATATTTACATAGCTTGACTCTACTGGGCGAATAGTTTTGCGGGTACAGCAATGACTGAAGGCTGTGTGACCTAATCTCTGTAGTAGAAATAGAATTAACAGCGTGCTATGTTATGAACTAGATAAATCTAAAGGAAACCGTTCGTTTTGCTAATCGTTGTCACCCATATTAATTTTAGTCATGAGTACGATTTTAGACGCAACACTTTTCTCTGATGCGATCTTGTATAAACCGTTATATATGAATGCTCTGAATGAAGATATCAACAAACTGTCCAACTTATCCACAATAATGTCAAGCTCTATGCTAATTATGTCCGAATTACCATTTAAGTTAGTTTGGAAATCGTTTATTAGAGTTTTATTAATATCCAACAACTATCCATAATGAAAAAAAAACGATGACCGAAATTCATCACTCTATGTTCATAACGCGAAAAAACTGATAGCATTTTGCTGTAGTTAGAATCTGCCTACGGGGTGGATCATTAATCAGTAACTTCATGAATGGATAACCGATGATTCCAAACCAATGGTGTGCATGGGCTCCAGGATTCTGTGGGAACAAATGGTGTATGAACCAGTTTTTGGTCACTGGCTACCATGTCACTGCATCTCCTGTCGTTGCCCCACTGCCTTGTGGATCAGACTTTTATTTCGAAGGCTCCGGGAGTGGCCCCCTAAATAAACCACTTGTTTTGGTCTGGGCTCCCGGGCAATATTACAGCCCATGCACAAATCAAGTGATTTATGTGGCAAGTGTGTATTTGGTGCCTATTTGTACCAATATCTATGTGTTCAAATAAATGTATACTAAAATTACTGTCACAATTGACGGAGAAGATTTGGAAGATGTAAAAACCTTTACGTATTTGGGCAGCATCATTGATGAACAGGGTGGATCTGATGCAGATGTGAAGGCGCGGATCGGCAAAGCAAGAGCAGCATATTTACAACTGAGGAACATCTGGAACTGAAAGCAACTGTCAACCAACACCAAGGTCAGGATTTTCAATACAAATGTCAAGACAGTTCCACTGTATGGGGCAGAAACCTGGAGAACTACAAAAGACATCATCCAGAAAATACAGGTGTTTATTAACAATTGTCTGCGCAAAATACTTCAGATCCATTGGCCAGACACTATGAGCAACAACGTACTGTGGGAGAGAACAAACCAGATCCCAGTGGAGGAAGAAATCAGGAAGAAGCGCTGGAAGTGGATAGGACACACATTGAGGAAAGCACCCAACTGCGTCACAAGACAAGCCCTCACATGGAATCCTGAAGGTCAAAGGAAAAGAGGAAGTCCAAAGAACACATTACGCCGGGAAATGGAGATAGACATGAGGAAAATGAACAAAAATTGGATGGAACTAGAAAAGAAGGCCCAGGATAGAGTGGGTTGGAGAATGCTGGTCAGCGGCCTATGCTCCATTGGGAGTAACAGGCGTAAGTAAGTAAGTAAGTAAGTAAGTAAAATTACTGTCAATATTTCACTTTACTGTATTTAAGGATTTAAAAAGTAATGATAATAATATTAATAATAATCCAACTTTCATAATAAATGTGCAAGTTTATGTAGTTAATATTATGTTGCATACTATTTATACGTGAGCTAACTTCCTTATTGCTATTCAAGTACTTAAGTGATGAGTAGAGAAATGAATGGTGTTTTTCAGACTTGTAACTCAATAGTTGAATATTGCGACTGAATTAAAATCAAAGTGGTTTAAGTTACAAATCACACTATTCTACTAGCTGATTTATGCAATTTAGCTGCAAAGCCATTTTCAATTTCACTTCACCTATCTTCAGGAATTATGATTTCGAGAAGAAAGTAATTGAAACATTATTTTTAGATTATTAACTCCCACTGACGTAATATTTGTTGTCTTATAACGACTGTGTAGTTTGCTTTGTTTATCGACCTAATCCAGTCAGTCTATATTATGAAAAAGATTGCATATTCCATTAGGTTTTCCTATGGGAGGAATTTGCTTGAAGATTCGTTGCTGTGCTATAAAAACGTCAGGATAGTGTTAGAAAATTAAGGGTTAATAGCTTAAGGGGTATCTGTAGAAAACCAGACTTCACGAACTATGTGCTGCAAAAATTGCCTCTAAAAACCTATCAGTTATAAGTGAATGACTTAGACGACATTTGTCTAGGTTTCTAATAATTTACTTTATATTTGGTAATGAGCTAAATACTGAATGAACTTAACAGCACACTTCATGTCAAATGATGAATTTCTCTCTTTCATGAACCTATCGTACTGAAAGGCATTAATCATTGAAGTTTGTCATAAACAATATCCTGAACTGTACAAAAATCTTAAATAAAATGACTCGTCTGTATTTGCTTAATTATAATTGATGTATGATAAACATCTTTAGTAATTAGGTTACCTCCTGCAATTACACTTAACTTTTTTTATTTAACCATAAATTACATTAATTTTCAACCAAAGTAATCAGATGATTCTGTGTAGTCATGAATTTTCATGTTTCATTGTACAAATTGTTGAGATGCATCATATGATATGAAGACGGAAACTAAGTTTATTTTTGTTATTATTTGAATTGAGTTTGTGGATCTCCATCAGAGATTTATAATAATGGTGAAGAACAATAGTACTAAGATATTTACTACTGGAAAAATTAGTCTTGCTTCAACGCTCATTCGGATAAATTTTATTCACAATCATTCAGTCAGTAACAACGTAGAACTTCGTACGTACGTACATCAATTCGGGTTGCCACATTATATTAGCATGGACATGCAGTTGTCTATTCAAATCCCGTAGTGGTAGAGGTAATAAGAGTATAAGCAGTAATCGGGAAGATTAGGGTTTGAAGGTGCTATTCAAGGAGTATAATCCAGTGAAATAAATTTGGAAAGAGAAAAAGAAAGGGACATGAAGAATTCAGAAAATTAAAATTTGGGAGAACACAAAGAGTGGATGCACCTGCGCCATTGCAAACGATTTTGAGCCACGTCATTCTAGGTCTCTAACTATCATCTCGCGGTCCCCAACCACATAGTCTACACCTACCAACATGGCTCAGTTCACTTGTCAGTGACTTCATGGACTTGTGCCATGGTTTTGTCTGGCCGCCCCTAGCTTTCTTCCAACCTACTCCTATACCACTGAACATAGCACATCGAGGCAGTCGGTCGTTGGGCATACGTAACACGTGTCCCAGCCATCTCAACTGATGAAGTTTCACTACTTCATCAATTGATTTGCCATCCTTACCTAGTACCCGTTTCCTAACAACTGTGTTACTTACTCGATGGTCCCATGATATACGAGCAATGTTTCGAAGACACCTATGATCAAATACTAGTAACCTACGAATATCCTCTACTCTTACCGGCCATGTTTCACTGCCATAGAGTAGGACGGAACGAACTGCTGCGCAGTAAACACGTCCTTTGGTTGATAGATGGATATCTCGCCTACGCCATAAATGACGCAAGTTGGTAAAAGCTAGTCGAGCCTTCTGTATCCGTGCTGAGATTTCGTCACACACCAGACCACAATCATATAACATTCTTTTATGCTACATCGCTTATGTAGTCCGCTTTATTCTCATTTTCCGTATTTTACTTTTAAACCTATACAGTAGCTCGTATATGGTAGAAACCCTATCCCATCTAAACGATCTCAAGTCACTGACTAGTTAAAAGTTGAATGAAACAGTCTTTCCGAAGCCATATATACCATTCAAACTGGCCTCTTTCAACGTTCGCACAATAATGCAGATCGGACAACAGATGGGGTTGGCTATGCCTTTATAAAGTCTTGATATCGATGTCTGTTGTGTATTCGAGACCCGTGTTCAAGACTAGTGAAGTACAACAAATTTACTCTCAGTCTGTCACCTCGGAAACCATGTTTCACATGCCTTTGTCCGGAGACCCTGTGATATCTTCATCTCGTTTTTCTTGCGTTAATGTCACACTTAACGCTAGAGCCGATGCAGCACTGATAGTTTGGTTACTCATTAGTAGTCGGTTATATACTGTTAGATTAGAAAGTTCCATCAAATCGAAAAGAAATCGGTGTGAGAAACGATGTCTTTTGTCATCTTTGCCTACGCTCTTATAGATTGCAGCCCGGATGCGATCAATGATGTTTCTGGCTGGCACCAACTACTGCATGGTCATCGCTGATGTGCTACCTGGCATCCTCCCTCTTCATCTCAAGCCCTTTTTCAGATTAAACACATTGCGATCAGCTACCGCTCGCATGGTTGTGTACAAGACTGCTGCTCCTTTTGGAGTACCTATCTGGATTCAGACCATGCCCTTGTTTGCGCCAATCTTACCTCACGTTTCAGTGACCAACAAATTCATCGCCCGTCGTTCTACTCCGAGTGACCCCGAGTTTGATCATAAACGAAGACTGTTACATGATGAAATTGTGAAAAGTCTGCGTAAAGACCGAGAAGTTTGGTGGCTGAAGTATGCCAATGAGTTGGAAGCAGCAGCTGCATCCGGAAACTTCCGGGAGCTCTTTCAACTAATCCAATCCACTGATAGCGAGAAATTTGGTACGAGGGAAACAATCTGTGAAGATGATGGGATGCCAATCAACAATATCACTAGGGACTCCAACTTCTGAAGCACCACAAATCACCAGACGTAGATTATATACCTCCATCCCTTTTTATAAAGATAGTGGTGACTTTCTGGTTATGGAACCGACTATGTTGTTTACAGTGGTCTGACAATTACACAGTGTTACGATATCGTGGAATGAGTCGGTAGTTATCATTATCTTTAAAAATTGTCCACGTCGTTTCTGTAACAACTATCAGGGCGATTAGTCTCCTTTCGATTGGGTCCAAACTATGGGCCTCCGTCATACTTCGTAGATTGTTCAAAACCCGAGGGAGATTGACTGGCGAGGAGCAGGCTGGGTTTCGTTCTGGTCGAGGATGTATTGATCATATCTTCACCCTCCGCCAAATGTTAGAACACCGTCATACTTATCACCAGCCAACAATCGTATCCCTGGTTTTTATTATAATATAAACAATTGGTAGCAATTGTCTACTTCTAGCTTTGTTCTTTGATTGAATTAAACAACTCTTGAAATACGTATATTCAGCGTTTTTGAACTGTATAGTCTTCTTCTTCTTCTTGGTAATCTAGCTTACAACAAATGCCGATCTCATGGCTAGTCGTCAATGGAAGTATTATATTGAGACAAATGAATGGACACGTGCTACATGTGCATTGATGGCATGTTTATTTACTAGAGATCAAATGGCTAATTCAACTGTTTTAGGTCGTGGTGGTTCACAACGTGCCCGTCTTCCAAGCAATCTAGTTGCCTATGTTGTCAGTAAGTTTTTCTCTTGTTATATTTTGCTGTTTATTTTGTAATTGGTTGACTTTTTAATGGCCCTGTAACTTACCTCAGTTAGATCGTACGATAATTGTTATCGAAATATACATTCCAACTACCATCGTACATAATTATTGGTTTGATTCATGTTAGAAAATAACAGAATAAACGAAGTCAGATACGAGGATGACCTTTAAATTTGTATATTTCTCACACTCATTGATCCGGACAGACAATCGGAAAAACCAAGTAAACAAAGCGAAGTGAAAGATGTCATTGGAAAATGGAAAACAAGGTGATGCACAGTTGAGAAGGCGAGTGAGCCAACTCGATTTGACCAAGAGTAACTCAATATTTATAAATAGACCGAAGATAAGTTACAGACACGTGATGAATGGGGTAGGCAATTGACAGACTTAGGATCATATAATAACAGTCAGGTTTAATAAGTGATAAGGTCAAAATGTGACTTGAGAAGAATGAATAAATTGGTCTTTTCAGATGCTAGAATAACCTATGTTGGTTTGATATAGTACCAACCTCTACAACTTAATTATTATTCATATCACCAACCGATCAGTGTTAGGCCACGGTTAAAAACCTGAAAGCACTGGATGGTCGTTTCGTCCTACCATGGGACTTCGGAACAGTGCGCATCCACGATCTTACACGCCGGATTCGAACCCAGGACCTTCGGTCTCGCGTGCGAACCCTGAACCTGTAGACCACTGTTATATATATATATATATTAACTTGGAAGTCCTGCGTTTTTACTTGATACTAGTTGGAAGTTGTCAGCCATGTCTAATATTCGAGAGACTGATTTAAGAACATCTCTGTCGTAGTAATCTTAGTCTGACACAAATATGTTTTGAATCAAGTTGCAATACAACGTTAGTGTGACGGAATAAAATGATTGAGATGAGTAGTGAATGCATCTATACCATTGTGAAAGGTTCTAAGCCATGTCATCCAGTATCTCCAACTATTGACTGTGATTATCAAGTTGATCTCAACCAGTTAGTTTTGACCTACTCACATAGGTCAGTTGACTAGTCAGTTACCTCATGAATTGATATCACGTATTGTTTTGGTCGGGCAATGGAGGTGGTTACTTCGCCAAAAATCTAATTCTGTTTCATGGTCCACCTAGGCGGTGTGCCTAAAGGACCACCTTCGCTATCCCGTCATTTTAGCCCCCAAATGCTCTGGTACGGCCGAGAGTGGGGAGAGTCCGCTCTCGCTCTCGAAATGCTCTCACATGGCCACGCGTATATAGCCTCTGACAAGGGAAGTCCTACTCACTGCCTTATCGTGGCGGGGTGTTGTTTACGAAATTGAGAGGACGAAAAGCGAATGTCCGGCGCTTTAACCGGATTCCAAACCAATGGCGCACACGGGCTTCAGTATCCTGCGGGAACAAATGACGTATGAACCAATAGTTGGTCACTGGCTTCCATGGGACTGCTTCTCCTTATGATGCTCCACTGCCTTGTGGATCAGAACTTCAGGTCGAAGGCTCGGGGTGTGGCCCCCTGAGAAAACCACCTGCTTCTGTTTGGGCACCCGGGCAGTATCACAGCCCTCACACATATCGAATGAGATTTGTGTAAAGCATATGTGTTAGTGCCTCCTTGTACCAATATCTATGTGTTTAAATAAATAAATTGTTTTAGTTACACTTAATTTTCTTCCAATTTTCTTCTACATCAGTTATAAAATACCTGTCGAAGTAGTTAATGATTAAGCATACTTAACATGTATTTCCTAACCACCATAGTCTATTCTCTTAGTTTTAAGACATCTCAAAACTACTAATATTATGGTCAAATAATTTACAGATGATCTGTTAACACATTTGATGTTCTTAAAATACTTATACACTCATTACATACAATTCAATTATGATTCCTGAATATTTCTCAGTATATTAGACTATGTAATTTTATCTATTCATACAAAGAATTCAGTAGTTATCTGAAAGTAATTAAATTATTCATTTAAATTAACTTATTAATAAAATCTAATTTAAATAGTTCATTCTTATTGATCACTTTTAAACATTAATTACTTTTTAATAATGATATAAATAATTGAGCATAGTAACAAATAAAGATACGTTTCTATGTAATTGACTAATTCATGTGTCCATTTGTGTAATTATAATTATACCATCATCATTCAATGTTATTTACGTTCTTCAAAATTAACATAATTAATTACTCGATTAGGTATGTTACCCCTTGTGAACGAGTATAGGCCTCTCATCAATACTCTCCTCCATCTAACCCTGTCCTGAACAATTCTTTCCAGTTCTTTCTAATTGTTATTCATTATTTTCTTGTCTACTTCCAATTCTCGACGTAATGTGTTCTTCGGCTTTCCTTCTTTTCTGTTTCCCTACATAATTATAAATTAGGGCTTGCCTCATGATGCAATCTGGTGATTTCCATAATGTATATTGGCATTATTTTACCACTGAAATTCTAGCTGATTTCATGATATTATTTACACAAGAGTTTTATTAAGTTTAAAGCTGTTGGTCTCTATTCACCAAGGTAGATACATAGTCCTGACTAAATAAAAATGCATATTCTGTAGTTTATTTAATAAAATAAAACAATAGATTAGTAACTAAATCATACTTTCAACTCATTAGGTTTTAAGTTTGAATTCTACTCCATTTACTTTAATTTAGGTAACTGCGTAATGTAACTACCCCATGTTACACAAAAACTTTATGGTTGAAAATTAACAGTGTAATTATTATCATCCTGTTATATGTATTTAAATAAATAAAGTATTCAACGTTTACACATTATCATATTACCCTCATTTAAGACTAAGCTATATCTACCGTAATATAATTTTGGCAATCAGTTAATCTTTACAATAACATGCATAAACCTGTATATATTTACTATTATGATGGTGATCATTATTATTTGGTTATTTTTCCAAGTACAAATAAGTATATATATATATATATATATATATATATATATATATATTGTCGTCAATATTCTCTTCTATTATTCAATATGTTTTATACTTCTTTCTATATTAGGGATAATATGCATTACTTCTAATGAGATTAACATAATGAAACTTAAATTGGATTCATTCTTGTTTTCATTGTTATTTTGTTTTAGTCAACTTTCTTGTATACATTTTAATAACAACAAAAAAATTTGTATCATTTATGAAAGAATTTAATATTCAATCGATTAAAATATTTGTCTCAAAACTACTAATTTGTAAATATCAGTAGTAGTGAACATGTCTGTTGTAAATTAATAATAATAACTTCGTGAATAACTCATTTATATTCAAAGGGTAACCATTTTACCTAAACACATAAACATTGGTACATGGAGGCAGCAAAGAGATATGCGCCATATAAATCATTCGATTTGTGTGAGGGCCGGGATACTGCCCGGGTGCCCAAACCGAAACAGGTGATTTTATTAGAGGGCCACTCCCGGAGCCTTCGACATGAAAGTCTGATCCACAAGGCAGTGGAGCAACGTTTGGAGATGCAGTCCTATAATGCCCAGTAACCAATAATTGGTTCATACTCCATTTGTTCCCTCGGGATACTGTAACCAATGTGCACCAGTGGCTTGGAATCAGGTTTTTCGAATTTCCCTAGGTGGATGCCCAATATCCATACCTTCAATTCGAAAAGCGGCAAACTTTCATTTTGTATTTGATTAAGAGGTTTTGGGAGATTAGTTTGAAGATTTGCCTTCTTTACTGACTGATATCAAAAACCAGGTGATCATTGGAATCTGGGGACCAATAGATAATTTACTAGTCTTTTAGCGTGATGCTTCTCAATAGTAACTACCGATGACCCATCCATCGGCTCAACTAAGGATTTCAGGTTCAGGAGGAGGCGTCTAGTCTTCAACTTATTAATTTGGAATTCGAAGATCCTCATTTTCACCTAGCCATTTAGTGAAAATATTCACTGCCATTAATTGACAAACACCTCACTCTCGACACATTTTTGTGTATTTATATCACTGGTTGTGCTCAGTGTATCTGTTTATTCATCAGGGATAAGATACTATATATATATATATATATATATATATATATATATATATATATATATACTTTTGCTTGCTACATTTAATAAGTTTTTATATACTATTACTATTATTATTATTACTATTATTATCATTATTATTATTATTATTACTATTATAAACATTAAGTGTGGTCTAACTAGCGTAAATTTGTATATTCATTATTCCAATAATCTGTTATTGTTGATCTGCAACATTTTTTGCTTGTGTGGAAATTTGGATTCTTGTTGTTGTTGTTGTTGTTGTTGAAAAACCAGATCTTCTATGGTTGTTGTATGTATGATCAAGTACCACTTATATCATATTTTTTCCAAGTTCTCTGTTTCTGCCTAATTGAATTTTTGTCTCTCCTTCTGATTGATTGTTTTTTATTTTTTCTATTTTCGTAAAATAATAATAGAAGTTTCAATCCATGTACTACTAATAATAATGATAATAATAGACTATAATACTTGTAACTTCTAAATTAACACAGTTTGTTCTCATTAAGGACTAAAACAACCATTGAATGATCTCACTGTTCTATTCACTGAATTTGAGCTCAAAATAATTAACTGACTGTATGAATTCTTCTTGGAAATATACGTAGATGGTCAAAAGTAATCAGTAGAACCTAAGTTCCATGTTGATTGACACACTATCAGCAAAAGAGTTCTTGCAATTTTGTAGGAACTGATGTTATCTTCAGGATTTCAACTCAACTCATCCAGCTGGCTTCACAGTCTAAGACGTTAACACTGAGCTACTTGTATAGAGATTAGTCTCCGATACAATTGAAATATTTGTTATTGATCGATCACTGAGCATTAACCAGTGGAACGTTTGTCTAGTTCTTTTGTCCTGATCTGATTATATCGATAAAGTTGCTATGTGACCACTTATCCAATTGAGTTGACATCACGT